CAGCTAGGGCTCCGCTGATTTTAAAGAGAGTGGAGGGACGATTAGAGAGAGAGAGAGAGAGAGAGAGAGAGAGAGAGAGAGGGAAACATTGATGTGAGAGAAAAACATTGATTGGTTGCCTCCAGCATGTACCCCTGGACCGAGAATCAAACCTTTGACCCTTCTGTGCGAGGGATGATGCTTCAACCACTGAGCCACGCTGGCCAGGGCTATTAAATATTTTTAATAGGAATTCCTATGTCTGGGGTAGGAGACTGTGAGCCAGACACCTCAGTCCTGAAATTATTTCAAGCCAGGAGCTTTGCGCTGTTGGGTCTCCGCAGAGGGTTAAAAATTGAGGGGCTGAGCTCCCTAGAATACCAAGAGGTCAAGGGAATAGGACAGTGATGGCGAACCTATGACACGCGTGTCAGAGGTGACACGCGAACTCATTTTTTTGGTTGATTTTTCTTTGTTAAATGGCATTTAAATATATAAAATAAATATAAAAAATATAAGTCTTTGTATTACTATGGTTGCAAATATCAAAAAATTTCTATATGTGACACGGCACCAGAGTTAAGTTAGGGTTTTTCAAAATGCTGACACGCCGAGCTCAAAAGGTTCGCCATCACTGGAATAAGAGGTCAGATTGGTGAGTACTTGCAGGGCTGAGGTGCAGGGGCCCCCAGGATAGCACCTGTATTAGCACTTTCCCAGTTGCACTGCAAACTGGTTTAAAGGGAAAAAAAAGGGGATGGATTAATTCACATAATTGAAAAGACCACGTGTCTTTCCAGCTTCAGGCAGAGCTGGGTCCAGGTGCCCTGTCAAGAATCGGATCCTGTTTATCTATCCCCAGCCCCTGCTTTCCTCTGTGTTAGCTTGGTTCACAGACATGGTCTCTCCTCGTGGAGTCTAGAATCCCCAGCTGTATACCCTACCAGCTTAGCTACCCCTGCAGAAATGGGGTACCTCACTAGAACTCCCAGCAGAAGTCCCAGGGCTGACTCCCATCACTGTGGTCAGGGGTCCTGAAGTGCACCGTTTGGCCAAGCCAGAATCAACCTTGTCTAAACCCTGGTGAGCGAGGAAGTAGGGCAGATAATAATATAAGGCCTCGTTGCCTAAAAGGCAGGAAGCCGGGTTATAAGGGGGTGAGAACTTAGACACCTTGATTCCCAACAGTGTGAGGGGCTGGGAAGTCCCAGAAGGGACAGTGGTAACCACTCCCCCCCCCTCCCCCGCCATGCTACCTGCCTCTTCCTGCAGCTACATCTTCCGACCCAGCTGCACTCGCCTGGGGCAGTGGGCCATCGGCCACGTGAGCTCAGACGGCAGCATCCTGCAGACCATCCCTCACAACAAACCCCTGTTCAAGGCGCTCCTGGAAGGACAAAAGGAAGGCTTGTGAGTCCCCATCCTGGCAGGGGGCGGGTGTCGGCTCACTGCACTTCGCCCAGCGGACATCATAAACTTGCAATTCTGCAGTGTTCCAGCAGGTGGCAGGCGAGGCCTTGGGGAACGGGCCCCTTTTCTTCCCACAAGGTTGCCATATGAGAGATCGGCGTGGGGAGTTGAGCACAACCATTCCTTATCTCACTGAGAGCTTTTGCTGCTAGATCTCCAGATCGTGTTACAGAAGCCAGACTGTTAGAGCAGAAAGAGAACCGGGCGAACAGCTGGGCTGGTGGTTTTCCTCCCGTAACCTTGGCTGCCCCAGGGCCTCTCTCAGGAGCTGCCTTGGGGGCGAGGGGGAAGGCAGGTGAGGTCCCCCCCTGGACCTTTCCCCTGAGCCTTCTTAGCAGTCATATCAATGCAATACAATCTGAGATGCATAGAGAGATAGCAGCCGGTTCACCTAATTCACAGTGCTCCTGTTCTGCAAAGTTTCAGCGGACACTGAGTTATCCAATGCTGAGCCCGCGCTCCCAGGGGAATACAGGGTTAGTTAGATTCCTGCCAGACTGCTCACATTTTTGTCGACCAGTCACTACATAATAACCTTTATGTGTGTTTCTGTTTAAAGAAACAACACCTTGTGTAATATATTTCCGGGGTTCTTGTTCCAGCATTAAGAAGGGTTCGGCAATCTGGAGAAGGCTGTGCGTAGATTAAATAGGAGTCCAGAGATGAAGCATAATTTTGAAAGGCATTTGGGGGTCAGAGGAGCCTAGTTTAAAGGGAACTAAGATCTAAGTTCTAAGTTCTCAGGTCTCCTCGCCCCAGGACCCCATGCTTTTTATTAACACAATTTGTCCTGAGGGGAGGCAGAGATATACACTTCAAAGGGTATACACAGGCATTGTCAGAATGGGGGAATTAGTCTACCGCTGTTCAGGTGTTTGGCCAGTAGGAGGCAATAACATGTAGATTAAGATGCCCTGAGCTGTCTGGCAGCCAAGAAATCAATTTAATGTATCGTATTCAGGTTTGGGGAAATGCCTTTAGCCATTCCCAGGTTCAGCCCTGCTGTCATGCTAGAATTGGTCTCCGGCAATATACTAGTATATTGGGTTTTATTTTGTTTTGTCTATTAAATATATTTTTTATTTACTTCAGAGAGGAAAGGAGAGAGAGATAGAAACATCAATGATGAGAGAGAGTCATTGATCAGCTGCCTCCTGCACGCTCCACACTGGGGATCGAGCCCACCACCCCGGCATGTGCCCTGACTAGGAATCGAACCGTGACCTCCTGGTTCATGGGTTGATGCTCAACCACTGAGCCACGCTGTAATATACTGTATATTATTGATTCATTAACAATGAAGACACAACGAAACTATGCCTTGGGGGCATTTTAAACTCGAGATCACACCAAAAAAAAGCACAAAAATGCAAGAGACACTGAATAGACGGTGAAAAGCACACTGGTTTACAGGGTGGGAGTCGAACAAGGTGGGCAAGTGTTGCCGCGTTCAGCCTCACTGGGACCCTGCCTGTTGGGTGCCTGGAGTTTTCTGCCACTGTGCGCGCGTCCACGAACGGCCACACAAGCGCCACAGGTATTGATCGGGGGTCACAAATTTTAGTTCGTAGGCAAATTTTCAAATACAGAACCCATGAGTAATAAACATCGGTTGTGTGTCCGTATACATCCATGCACAGACACACACATATTATTGTATTTGACAACCGAGGCGCAGAAAGACAGACCCACTTGCCCAGGACACACAGTGACTGAACTGACCGGCTGGGATTTGAAGCCAGACGGCCAGGCTCAACGTACTGGCCCTTTCCCACTCCCATGTCCTCAGTTCCAGGTGGCACCTCCTGGAGAAGAGCGTTCCAGACTTAAAATAAGAGTGAGCACTGTGGATGTCATTTAACCTCCCTGCTACACACACACACACACCATCACCATCACCACCACCGTTTCACAGATGGGAAAATCAAAGCCCTGAGAGAGGGGAAGGGACACCAGCTCTTTCCACCCCACGGCCAGTCGGCTTTCTGGGTCTGATATTGATCGGAGCAGTTCCCTCTATTGCTCGTTCACGTGTGGAGAAGGAGCGCTGCACTGTCTTATTTCATCCGTACCGCCCATCTTTGCCCGAAGCATGAGTATGTCCATTTTACAGAAGGGAAAACTGAGGCCAGGGAGGGAGAGTTGCCCAGCCCAGGTCACACAGTGTGTTTGTGGGAGAGCTGCCCCTGTTTGTGGGCCCAGGTCAGGCAGAGCCATCAGCTTTAGGAGACGTGTGACCCCGCTGTTGGTCTGAAGGTGCAGTTCTGACCTCAATGGGAGACCCAAAGGTGCTAAGCCTTCTCGGCTGCCCTGGGTCCTGGAGCTTGGACCTGCCCACAGCCCTGGCCTGCGTCCCTCTGGGCCTCACTGTGTGGCCTTGGGTAGTCGCCTCTCCCACACTGGGCCTCAGTCTCCAGCTATGAAGCAAGAGGAAGCAGCGTGGGTGTCCAGGAGGGTCCTGGTAGCCCTGCTGGTCCAAGACTCTAGGATCTGGTCCCCCCAGGAATCTGTGACTCAGATGCTGTTAAGCTCAAGTCTGAAGACTAGGACGGTGACGTCCTGGGAGAAGGAGGCCTGGACTTTGATCCGTTTCCTGGTTCTCGTTCATCTGATCCATGTTCCCAGGGCTCGAGTCACTTAGGTGATGCGTGCTCGGTCTGTGGGGGTCTGAGGGCCCGTGGCCCTGCCCCAGGGCCTGAGGGGACACAGCTGGTCCGACCTAGAGAGTGTCAGCTTGAGGAGAGAAGGAGAAAAATATCCCCAGGCCAGCAAGAGATGTGGGGCAACTGCTCATTCAGGAGCTCTGGGCCCGGGCTGGGGCTGGGGGAGTCCTTGTTATTCTGGGGGGGCGGGCTGGGCCCCCTTTTGTAGCCCTCTGTTCCCTCCCCCAGCTACCTCTACCCAGATGGGAAGAACCACAACCCAGACCTGACTGAGTTCTGCCACATGGAAGCCCATCAGCTCATCCACGTGTCAGAGGTGAAGTTCAGGCCCGCCCCCCCGCCCCCCCCCCCCGTCCCCACCCCCCCCACACACACACGCTTGGCTCAGGAATTCCCTCTCACCGAGTCAGGCCTGGGATCCCAGAGGCCTTGGGGTTTCGTGCTGGTGTGATGGCCACGGGGCCTGAGGTAAATAAATCACTGGGCCTCTCTGAGGCTCTGTTCCTTCTCTGGAAAATACAGCTCCTCCTGCCACTGCTGGGGGTTTTCCTGGGGCTTAGACCAGGAAATGATACTTCTGAGGTCATCAGCACAGCTGATGCGCTTGAGCACTCACAGCCCCTGTCCCTTGGTCTGGGCAGTCACCCCGTGTGTGGAAGAAAAACGACAAATAATGTTTGGGACATACTTATACCTAAAATACCAGGCTTTTTCTTTTATTCTTTGTGCTTCTGAAAATCAAATGTAACAGGGCATCCTGTATTTTTTAATATCACCCAAGGAATGATTTTTTAGAGATAAAAAAAGAGAGAGAGAAGCATCCATCAGCTGCCTCCCATAGGCCCCCCCAACCAGGTATCGAACCCGCAACCTGGGCATGTGTACTGACCAGTCATCGAACCTGCAGCCTTTTGGTGCACGGGATGACACTCCAAGCGCATCCTGTAATTTTAGTGGCTAAATCTGGCAACCCTGAGAGCCGGCTACCCCAGGGAACACATCTCACAGCACCGGGTACATGTAGGAGGCAGCAGACACGCCCTGGAACCTGGGAGAGGGTTGGGAGCTGGCCCGGAGATTCGGGACTTTCTCCTGTGGCCCGGCTCTGTGCCCCTGGCTGATGTCACCACCGTCCATCTTCTCGCCTGCCAGGAGCAGCTGCAGCTGTACTGGGCCATGAACTCCACGTTCGAGCTCTGTAAGATCTGTGCTGAGGCCAACAAGGACGTGAAGATCGAGCCCTGTGGGCACCTGCTGTGTAGCCGCTGCCTGGCCGCCTGGCAGGTGGGTCTCCCCTCTCCTGAAGGGTCTCCCCTATGCCTCAGGGATCAGATGGGAAAACTGAGGCCCAAGAAAGCGGGGACTCACTCAGGGTCACTCAGGAGCGAGGGCCTGGAGCCTGGCTGTCTGTGTCTGTGTGTCTGTCCCTGTCTCACTCTGCGGCTGTCCCCTCTGCTTCTCCTTCTCCAGCTACATTATTCATGGAAAGAGCTCCTCCCTTCCCTCGCTGGGCAACCTGGGGCTAGTGGCTTCACCTCTCTGAGCCTCGGCCTCGTCTCTGGAGAACAGAGCTGACCCTGGTCACCTCCCAGGCCCACAGGGAGGGTCCAAGCCCTGAAGCCCACAGGGAAGGCCCCTTGGGGAGGGGAGCTGAGGCCAATGCATGACATCACCCACTTTTTACTGTAATGTAAATGCCGGACATTAAGCTGAGTCATCCATCTCAAAGATACCCATCTCCAATAAACAAATTGCCAGATATA